TGCTGGAAGGTAAATAAAAGGTCGGTGAACATTTTAAAATTATGCATTTTAGATTAATACGCTTTTGGAAAACCTGTTGATCCTATATAAAACAATCTCTCTCAAAAAGTTATTAACTAAGATGAAGACATAATAATAGACTGATGAATTTAGTTCCGTAGCTGAATAGTTTTAGATCTCAACACTTAACATACGTACTCATTAATTTCGCCCTTAGAGACTCTGCGCCACTAGATCTCTCCTTACGCCGCTCACCCCCGTCACATTCCAGTCTGCAAAGACAACGTGTACACTTGACGTCGTCTTATGCAGATGCCGATGAGCAAATGATGGATATGGAAACTCTGCTAGAAGCAGGTAAGGAGAATCTATCAATGGACGAAACTGGCACCGTCACACCTGAACAAATCGTTTGTGCACCTTCACTGCCAAATAGTCCATCAATGAGTCCTTCACCAAAGCGGCGTGCACTCAGCCCTCGCAGTTCCGGCGCGGACAGCACTTCCTCGATGTCATCTCCTGTCAACGTCTCTACCGTGTGTTTAGTTGCAGCTGCCGCTGCCAATAATTTGCTTGATTTACCATTGCGTTCCATGCTACCTGCCGATATAGCGTTAAAACTCTCCGAAACGAATATAATGAATCCACTGCTTTCCAAACAAAATCTCGAACTAGCTTTGAAGCTCTCTGCTGCAGCAGCGGCTGCTGTAAACAACAATTCACCAACTGGAGCGAGTTCTACCATTGCCGAATTGGCTGCAGCGACAGCGGGCAAATCTGCAATACTCTTACCCAGTTTGGGTACCGGACCCCCAGCATCTAATAGCGTAAATATCGTCGGCCCAAATACCGCAGTGCAACCCCAAATTTATGTGAAGCAGGGTGTCTCCAAGTGCAAAGAATGCAATATTGTATTTTGCAAGTATGAGAATTATCTGGCACATAAGCAACACTATTGTTCAGCGCGCAAACAGAACAGTTGTGAAGACGAGACGAAGGTCGCAAACACATCACCCATTGGAGTTGGTGCGGCTGCAGGCGGGGTAAACACTACCCCAGTTGCTTATCAACAACTTATTTGTGCTGCTTGTGGCATCAAGTATAGTTCTCTGGACAATTTACGAGCTCATCAAAATTATTACTGCCCTAAAGGAGGTGGGCCGATGAGTACCACTTCTTTGGCTGCCGCTGCTGCAGCTTCCGAATCTGGACAGGTAAGATATTTATGATCACATTGTTTATTTTTTGTTTATAAGTGTTAATGAGTTCTTGATTTTTTATGATATTCAGATGCCACTAAGCAAGGACAAATGTAGCAAATGCAAGACAATACATGAATTAGGACAACCTTGCCCACCACAGCCGGCACTGCAACAAGCTCAAAGCGGCGCACACCACATGCAAAGCGCAAATATGGCAGTGACATCTGCCATCACAGGACCCAACCAAAATCTCTACAAGTGTCCGGTTTGCGATGTAGTTAGTTTAACACCGTCCGAAAGCCGGAAGCACATGGAGACTCATGGTACAGTAAAGGCATTCCGTTGTAGTATCTGCCGCTATAAGGGCAATACATTACGGTAAGTAAGAAAACACGCAATGATGATTTGTTTGCCCAACTATTTTTTCTACAAAATTGATATTTGTTACATCAAACACGACTAGGAAATTTAGCTCGGATTATGAAATTATTCCGACAGCTGAGCTTGAGTTAGCTGCTTATAAATATATGGGCAAATCTAAAAAAACAGGTAGATTTAAAAAATATATATATATTTTTTTTAATTTGTGATCACACCTATGTTGGCTATATGATTTTATTCGTAATCTCTTAATAAATTGATAAATATTAGTGCGCTTAATTTTTATTAAGTGCATCAAAA